TTGGCTTTAAAAAAAAAGAATAGTGCCATTTGAACTGTTTTAAAACATTCATTGGATGTATTATCTTACTATTCCACTAAGAAGTCAAAATTTATTTTCAATTTATTTCAAAAATTGAAGAAAGAGCTGGGACCTCATAACAAAACAACGCATCAATCACTAGTGTCTATGGAGATTTTCAGTCATCCAGGTCATGGTTGTCCCAAAGGTGCTTTTCAAAAGGCAACTGGACTTTGGGTTTTTTTTTTCTTTGAAGACATTTTGCTTCTTATCCAAGAAGCTTCTTCAGTTCTGACTGAATGGTGGATGGATTTATATTCCTTGCAGTCATCTGGTCGTTGGCACTCTTTCTGAGAGTCATTAAGGCAACTTGGAGATTTATCTGTGCCCTCAGCGTCACCTGAATAGTGCAAATGGGTGTGGAATCTTCTTGGAGCTGCTGGAAGGACTGTGTTGTGAACAGAAGATAGGTGGTGTTTTATCCCTCCCCCTCTGTTGAGAGAGGGCTGTTAGTGCTACCCAAGCGTGTTGTGTTGAGATAATTGAAAAAACAAAGGGTACCTCCACATGTGATGTTTGTGGCATTCCTAGATCAGTCCCACTCTTATGAAGTCTCCCAATATAGTCTCTGTTAGGCAGGCAAGCCATTTTAGTTCCACTTGAGGTGCAGTTTAAGACGAAGGAAAGTCATGGAGGACAAGAAAACTTGAGGACGGACCTGTTTTCTACTGGTGGGAAACGTTGCCCTACTGCCCCCAGTGCTTACGTCACTGTTTGCACTGTTTCTCTCTTCTGCTATTTTAATACTGAACTCTTGAGCAGACATACTGTATATGGTACTTAGGCTGCCTTGCAGTTAACTGGGATGACAAAATACCTTTTAAATGCCAAACAAAATACTGTGAAATGGTTCAATGCCATTTCTTTGCAGTCTCTTAGGCAGCTGGAGACTGACTGCATTGATTGTCCCATCTGTTTTGAGCCAGCTGTGGGGAAGGAACATGACTGGGGGCTGGCTTGAAACTGTTTCTCAGAATGGTGGCAGAATGGATGAGACCAAAGGCAAGAGGTTTTTTTTCTTCTGCTATTCAATTGTGGCCAATTCTCAGAAATTTTTCTAGAGAAGTCCCTGCAAGTTTTTCAGAAGTGGTTTGCAAATTGCTTCCTTCCTAAGGCTGAAAGTGATTGGCCCAATCACCTACCTGGCTTAGTGCCTAAGGTGAAACTACAACTCACGGTCTCCCAGTTTCTAGCCTGATGCCTTTAACGACTACACCAAACTCAAAGATTTTAAACATGTTAAAAAAGATGAGAATTTTAGAAATAAAAGTACAACCAGTCTGCATGCAAATTAAAGAGCATGTCCGTTATCTCTTTTCTGTTTCCCCAATACACAATGGGCATGTTATGTTGATTCATCAGGTTTAATCACTTCTGTTGGTCTTTTAAGAATTACCCACCACCACCCTTTTACTTTTTTCTTACATATTTTTGTATTGTGCTCTGCAAGCAGGGGATGATTCTCCTATTCCACCCCTTTTTGCTGCTTTGCATTGCTTCAGTACAGCTTCCTGTGAAATCCTACCTCAAGTGATTTTGGGTCAGTCACTTTGTTTCCAAGGTTGTTGCTGTGAGGAAAATTAAAAGGAGGAAGAGTACTTATATTACCTTGAGCTTATGAAGGAAAGACAGAATATTATTCTAAAAAAATCATTAAAATGAAGTAGAATAATCTGTGAATTCATATAGTGACTAGAATATTGATCATAAACCATGGACCACTTAGTTGGAATCCATGTTTACCTTTATGCTTTTTGAATAAATCAAATACCGTTCATTTTCCCTAAATGCAGTTTACACAAACCCATTTTGCTCATTTGTTTAAACCCATAGCTCTTTCTAAGAAAGTTTTGATGGCTTTTAAAATGTCAGCACTTCTTTAATATGTTTGTGTACAGCAGTAATTGTTTGCCAATTTGTTTTTAGATACCAAGCTGCCACAATAACACACAGCATAGATTTTTCCAAAATAACTATGTGTTGACCTATAATAACATTACACTTTATTTTATAATTAACTGCTGGCGCAGAGAAGTACATTGAAGCTCACTACACAACTGTTTCATAATGACACATTAGGGAGGCATGAAATGTTGGTGGCTGATACAGTGTTTGAACCTTGGCAGGAAACAGGCATACCATCAGATAATCCCTGGATAAAACTTCTGATCAATGGTTTTACTAGCAAAGAATATTTTTGGGCTTTAGAGTCTTTTTTAGTTTTACAACTCTGTACACACCTTTCACTTTCAGTGTGCTTTAATAACATCTTGTCCTGAGTTGAACTTCCTGTGTTTTAGAATAACTGGGTATTTGGCATTTCCTCTTCAAGACTGAGCAGCTATGGTGTCCCTTCTGGGAGTGATAGTAAATCTTAATCGTTTGATTTTAGTATCAACTGGAAACTGCTTCTGATCTAATAATTCCTTTAAAGAGCTATTACCATAGTAGGGTATTCACAATGATATATATAAAAATAATAATTGTAATGAGTTATTACAATAGGAGCTTCTTTTCCTGTCTTTTGAAATGTCTGCAGCTATCCTTCAGGAAAACAGAAAGCTGCCTTATACCAACTGGATTTAGTAAACCATAATGTGGCTTGTACAGTTATAGCTAAGCATGTTGCACGATCCCACCTATTGTGGTTTGGTTTATGGCTTTGTAGTTATGAACCAAGTTGTTGTGTCTTGTTCAACAAATTATGATTAAAACAAACTATGTCTTTGTATACTGTATAGGTTAATGACTTATATAATTGAGTATAACCAACATGAACAGGCATAATTTTCCAAGGGTGCTGGTTAAGTTGCTCTTATTCTCCCCTTCTTGCAAATTATATACTTGAGAGTCTGATATAGTAGTAGATTTGTATAAATTTAGACAGAAAGTCATATATCCACATTTTTTGTTGTTTGGGGTTTATTTTTATTTATATGAACATTCAATCCTTGCTCTGCAATAAGGATGAAAGATTGAAAGCTTCCATTAGTTTGACGTTGTAATGTAAAATGAAAGTAATAAAAATAATCATAAGCTATAATCACATTGATTTAAATAAAGAGGCAGTCATGTTTCTTTAACAAAAAGTTTCTTTGTGAATTACCTTATTCTACTGCCAATAAAAAGGGATTCTTTTAATTATTTGAAAGATCATCTATGATCTACTTAACGGATTTCACATTAAACCAAATTTCAACCTAAAGTGATAGAAACATGTCATAGGTAGAGTAAGGGTTGTTTTTTTTTTAAAGCCCAAACTTGTAGAAATTGAGAGTACAAGGCAATATCCTTAAAGGTGAGAGGAAATACAAAAAGGCATTTGATTGGATGATATTAGAGAGCCAATTTAGTGTAGTGTTTTGGCACTGGATTAGAAGTAGAAGCTCAGGTTCTAGTTTAACCTCAGTTACAGGCACTCTTTAGCCAATCATACTATCTTAGTCCAGTGGCAGCCTACTTTATAAAATTGCAGTTGTGGAATAAAATGGAGACAGCCTTCCCTCGCCTTGACTTATATATAAAAATAATAGGTGGGATAAAAAGTCTTTTTAAAAAATGCATCAGTAACATTTACTAAGAGGTATTCCTTTGCATAAAAACAAAAATTGGATCTCCTATTTCATTGTTTCACCATTATATCAAAGGTGTTAATCAGGTATTCAGCTCACTTCCATCTGTTTCACTGTTTACAGAAAAAGGCTTTTGAAAGAAGCAAGGATAAAAACTGAATTGTTACACTCATTGAAATGATTGCATGTTTCATTAGTCTGCAGCTAAGGTCAGTAATTTGTGTGTTAGTGTGCATAAATAGATTTTTAATCCCTGTTGAACTATATATGAACTTTATTTTTTCTCAGTTTGGTAAATTTAGGATCTGCAAAACTATGATTTTCAAAATCCTGGGCAAGATTGAGATTACAGTTCCAGAACATTTAAAGGACATCAGGTTGGGAAAGTGCAATAATTCCTGTAGTAACAGGATATTTTTTCATGGTCATGCATATTAAGAAGTAACTAGGGCTGTTTGCTTGTTCAGTATGTTATGTACTATTAAAAAAGCCTTAAATGTCATTTATTTTTTTAAACATCTCTTAAGGGATGTTTGATGGTACTTTAGACCCCATAATCGAATGGGCTAAGAAATAGATTATTCTACGTAATATTGAGTGGTGTGTTTTGTGCTTACTCTAACAAGAAAACCCCAATGCGTCCAAGCAGGTAACTTGTCCAGCGGTATCAATGAGTAAGCCTTGCTGAGGTCAATGATGTTGCCTCTGAGTAAATGAGGCAAGGATTGATTTGCAAGGATATGACGCTTACCTGATTTTTTCCCCTCCACTGCTGTCCTCCAATAAACGAATAAGTAAAATCCCCGTCTCCTGTCTATACCACTTATTCTACTTTTAGTATTACATGGCTCTCCTTATCCCTGAGATAAGGAAAGCCTTCTCCCAGACACCAGCCCAGCCATCAGCAGCGCGCGGCTGCAACAGCAATCCTTCGGTAGGTATTGCGCACGGCGAGGCTGCAGTCAGGAATTTGCCAAAGGAAGGAATTCCGAGCGGAGCAAAGATCCAGTCCTCCTCCTAGGCGCGCGCCGCCTCGTCTCCGTTCCTGCATGGGACGTTCCCTTCCTCTTCCTTCCGGGTGGCGTTCCGTTCCTCTTGCTGCTCGGAGGAGCGAAGGAGAGCGCCTGTGGAGGGCTTTGTCCCTAGACGCTCTCCGTACTAGCGATGCTCCCGGCTTCGCTCCTCTTGGAGCCTCTTTCCAAGATGGCGGCTGCACGGCCAGCTCTGCGCCGTTGGGTCTTTGCAGCCGGGTCGTGAGTGAGTGACATCGCTTCTTTTTGTTGGTCGGCTGCCCCTCCGTGCTCCTCCGCTCTCATCGCCTGGCCGGGCTGCAGAAGAGCTCCTGTTGTTGCCATGCCTGCCCTGGTGCACGCATGAAAGACGCCGCCGCCGCCTCCGTCAGAGCCATGGAGGAGCCAGAGCCGGAGTGCAGCTGCTCGGCAAGCAGGTCAGGCTCCGATGGGGCTGCCAAAAATTAATGCATTAGCAAGAGAGAAAGTTGCTCGTTTTTTTCCCCTCCTCCCTTTCCTACAGCTGCCTTGCCTGCCTTTTCAGTAACTTTTTCTTTCTGTAGCTTCCGCCTGTCTTGCTGTTTCTGCAAGAGGGGTTGCTTTAGATGCTCTTTTGGTAAAGTAGGCTAAGTAACTCTTTTGCCAACCAAAAGCACTCTGTTACCATTGCTCTGCTCTCAGCCAACTGGGTTGCTTGAATCGATTTTTGTTGAACGTAAATCTCAGGTTTGCCTTTGCAGAACAGGGATTCCAAAATGGGCAGTTACTTATTACCCTCTTGCAACGAATGTTTGCTGTAAAGAAATGCATTGAAACCAGTACTTTTACCTCCCCCCGGAAGATCTTTTCCAGGCTCGTTTTTGCATTATTCATATGGTAAATAACATTGCAACATGCCACAGCTTCATCCTGTGTGAGCTTATTCAGAAGTTCAGTGTGTCATAGTCTAAAGGCAGAGTGCAACAGGTCAGGGGTGTAGTTCTTGTGCTTTTTTTAGCATGAAAATCCCTCAATCTCTGCTTTTTCTCTACAAGGGAAAATTCTGAAGCTAATACGTTTTCTAGTGGTTGTGGCAGGCATTTGCTGCAACAGTGATAATTGCATTGAGGGTGGTGGTGCAGGTTTTCTTTAAAAATATTAAATGTGGTTGGGTTGCAGTATGGATTGCATAAATGGATTTAAATGAATTCTTCAGCTCTAAAGTGCTACTGAGAAAATAAATTGAAATGTGAATATTTGGATAAAGAAGAAAAAAGTCTTCATTATTTTGAAATTTCATTGATGCAATAATTAATGCTTATGTTACAAAAACTTAATTGTATTAAATATGTTAATTGGATCTAGCATAGTGCTTTGTAAACAAGTTTACATTCAAATTTTTATGAATTTATTTGATCTCTCTTCACCAGATTAACTAATTTCCCACTCTTCATACCTTTTGTTCATATGCCTCTGTAATGCAGTTTTCACTAAATATTGCAGTAGCAGAATGATACTTTGCATTTTCTATCAAGTACAGTTCTGACAGAAGTGCAAATAACTGGTTAATTCCCCTACCAAGTTTCAGTAGGTAGGAAAAAAATGCATAAAACTGAAGTAGTTGAAAAAAAGTACACTATTTCTTTCTGCTTTTTAAAGCAGGGAATTGGAAATGTAGTCTAAAAGATATTCAGAAAACGACATTCAAAGGGCGTGTTTAGTTATTATTTGGAAAGAAGAAAAGAAATCTAGTTTCAAGAACTTAGAACAGTCTATGCAAAGTGAATCTGTTCTTCTGTTTTCAATGTTTGCTCTTCTAATTTGGATTCTTACATCAATCTATCACTATAAAAAGGATATATTTGCCATTCAGGCTACTGATTTCACCTGAACTCTCTTTGCTTCCTGAAAATGTGTGGTGCTTCATTGTTTATAGTTCCAGATTTTCTGTAAGAAAATATTAATCAGTTCATATTTTATTCTATGCCCACTGCACACCACATTGTATGCAATGATTAAGGCAGCTCTGTGAACTTCCATGGCTGGAGAGGCAAATTAATATTAATTTGTAGTATTTAATCTTAGAATCAGTTATCTCTACTGAAGAAGATCTGAAATTGATAAGATAATCTTTTCTTATAAAGCAAACCAGTACTTAGTAACATCAAGATATGTATTATGGATTGCTTGAAACTACTGTTTTCTGGAATCTAATTGTAAACTCCATGTGATCATTACTTTGCACTGTATTGCGTTGCATAATGTACATTAGTTGGAATTGGCCTTCGGAGGTGAGAATGAAAATTATTTCATGGCTCTGATACTTTCAGATTTCCAGTTGTCTGTCAAAGTGCTACATTACTCTTTGTAATTCCCAAGCAATTATTTTTCTCACTTGGATAACATCCTGTTGATTCATGTTACTTCTCACCATCAGGTACTCGGGAAATGCCTTCTTTTTAAGAATCCAGCATTGTACACTCTCAGTACAGGATGAATTATAAAATAAATAGTTACATTTTGACAAAAGAAAGAAAGGTGGACCTATTATATGTATGACTTACCTTTGTACCCCTTAAGAAGCCATTTCTGTATCCAATTTGGACAATTTTCATCCAGCCTCCAACTTTCCCCCCTTAGTTGTTGTGCAGGTGACTGAGCATGCAATTCCATAGGAGTCAGGAGGAAACAGATTATCTGAACCCATTTCAGTTGGGTTTCAGACAAGGATATCTTACAAACACAGTATCAATCCCGTTTTTGATGTACTTTGATGGAGCTGGGATGAAGATGGTACATCTTTCTGTTTTCTCAGTGGCTTTTGATATCATGAGTGGTAATACCTTTCTGGATTGTCCAAGTGGAATGGGTGTGGAGAAGGGTCTCCATTGTGCCAGGAGATGTGTGTTCATAATCCCTTTAATTAAACAGTAAACATTTAACAGGACCCAGGAAACATTCTTTTTCTATCACAGCACCCGCCTCTTCTGGATCAGCAACCCCCTTCCCCCAAGATTTACTTGAATTCCACCTTGATGTTCCAGAGATTTTTTGAAAACCTGGCTGTTCTCCCAGACTTTGGGTTAGGCTGGATTTTGGGAGAAGGATTTTGTCTGAGGGACTGTTTTTTTCTGGATGCACATGGCTTGTTTTTTGTTTTGTTTTATTGCTGTATTTTAATGTTTCCAAACCACCTAAAGTCATTTGGAGTTAGATAGCAAGTAAACCAATCAATTTAATGCTAGCTCAGTCATGGTGTTCTCCTTTATCAAGTGCTTGAAAAGGAACCAATTTGGTTTTTTCTGATAGATTGAATCTACTTAGCATATTGCTGGTGATGTTTTTGATGTTGAGTGATTGAAAGTGATGCAAATATTTAAATTGTGTCAGGGATAATAAGTCAGGTTGTTTTCAGACCTGTCTTCTTATGAAGGAAGGAAATTTTGTTGTGGCAAAGTTTCACAAATCTATGAGAAAGAATGCTTAATGGATGCCCAGCCCTGCATGCAGTCCAATCAATCCATATGTGGAGATTCCCTGAACCTCTCCCCCAGTTCTCTGCAAATTGTAATCTCTATCGTGATTGTAAAAACAATCAGCTACATAAGGAATGATAATGTTAACTGTAATCATTTAATTTAATTTCATTCAATTTGAATAGAAATTAAATTGTATTAACATTACCCTTGTTCCATTCACCTTTTTTTGTCTTAACTCTTATCATGTTTTGATTTAACCCTCACCCCAAGCACACTGCAGGGGAATGTGCATATCCTTATTTTATGGCTGTGTTTTTATTTTTATTAATCACAGGATGGGAATTAAAAATTAGAAGAGAAATAGCTATAGGTTTTTTGGACTTAAATCTTCAGCAGCAGTGGCATTATTTATTTTTTAGCTATTTATTAATGAAATTTACATGGTTGCTCATTTCATGGAAAGTGATTCTGGTTAGTATACAACAATCCAATAAAACAATAAATATATAAAACAATCATTGCCTAAAACCATTTTACAATTTGTTATATAGCTGTAGAGCAGGGGTCCCCAACCCCTGGTCCGGGGACCAGTACCAGCCGTGGCATGCCAGCAACCGGTCCGCACAAACAAGCAAAGCCCCATTTACGGGATGCAGGCAGCACACAAAACCACCACCCCTCCGGTCCGTGGAAAAACTTCTCTCCACATAATCGGTCCCTGGTGCCCAAAAGGTTGGAGATCTCTGCTGTAGAGTATAATTATTAGTTGCATGTACAGGTGGTCCTCAACATCCACAATTGGGGCAGCAACCTTTGTCACTAAGTGGTGCATGATTGTGACTTAAAATTTTACTTCCAGCTTTTCCTTGACTCTGCTTGTTGGAAGCTGGCTGTAAAGTGGCATATGGTAATCGTGCGACACTGTGACAGTCATAAATTACCAGTATACATGTGAGGACCAGTCATAAAGTTATTTTTTTTCAGTGTTATCATAAATTTGAACAGTTGCTAAATAGGGCAGTTGTTAATTACCAGTAGGTAATGCTTTGGTTTAGCTTTGGAAGAGGCACTTTAGAATGTGTGTGAGTACCAATACAGCACCTGTCTGCACTTATGTCTTTCACAGCAGCACAGTCCTGTAGACTGTATTTCAGTGAGTCACAAATGAGTGTTATGGTCGTGATTTTGCACATGCTGAAGCATTGCACAGCCCTATTAGATAGTCCTATCTTGCATATTGTTCTTCAGAAACAAATTTAATTACTAGCAGAGAGAATTGCATCTTTAGTGAAGTAGTACAGTATTTTTATTGTTCCCCTAAAAATCTATACAGTATTGGATCACTTAGCAGACTTCTGCCGAACCAATCAAAGGATTCTTATTTCCAATGTAGGTCAGGCAAGTTCTTCTGAGGAACCCATAAGCTTCTGAAAAGCCCATAAGAGAACGTGGTGGCAACAGGGCAAAATTCAACAATTGATATTTATTGACATATTTTCTCACAATATGGATTGGCCACAATGATCATGGCCAGGAGCCATTGATAAACTTCTGTGAACTAAATTCAGCTTATGACATACTTTGTGTGCCAGTAATTTCCATAGATTAATCATGCAGTTGTTGTGTAAAGAAGTGCTCTTTGTCCGTGACTATTGTACATCAGTTGGATAGGATGATTCAGGGTTCTAATATTAGTGCACCTGGTCCACAAAAGATTTGTGCAACTGTGCTTGCAGTATACTTTTTCAGAGAAGCTGGCTGGTAAGAGAGCAAGATGTTATTGCTTAGTAACTTCCTAATAGTTACTCAATGATTATTTCACAGATGAGAAAGACTGGTCTTGGAAACCAATTTCATGTTTCTTAGCTGGCTTAGTTCCTAAACATTTGGAGCCTAATAAATCATGAAACTATAATTGATGCTTGTGTAACTACAAATTGGGAATGTAAATGGATGGGTGTTTAGACTTATATAATAAT